ATCCGAACAATTTATTTTTTAGGTCTTCATTCATAGATTATCTTTGCCAAAAATCAATTTAATTCGAAACCATTTACTCATTTGATTGTCATGATGAAATTTCAATGTTTCTTAGAATATAATATTCGTCAATTTCTTTAAACTCAATTAGATGCCTCAAATATTTTTGATTAAGCTAATATTTTGCAATGATGATCTATAACTTGCAACTTGAAAAAAAAAAAAAAAAAAGGTTCAGATCGCTGAAGTTCGATGTAGAGTGGGCACCAAAACTTGTCCCATTTTTACCAAAAAATAGGATCCCCTTAGATAAAGAGCATTTGTAAAATATACCAATAAAATATGTTTATAATATATATTTTGTTGTGAACTTGATACTTTGGGAGAATGTAGAGAAAGGTGCAGCAAAGAGAAAGGCTTGAGAATTTTGTGTCTAATTCTTTGTGTCTAGTGCTTTTATTTATACTACCCTACAAGTAATGCAAGTTGTACAACATATCCTATAGGATTCCTATTAAGTTTACATAATCACACTAGTTATAAAACACTATTTACAACACTTCCCATTGAATGTGTAGAATTTAAGAAGTAGTCATATCAGGTCTTCATGATTAGGAGATCGCGGTTGTATCATCAGTTCTCATTTGGCACAGGCAATGGATATAAGAGTCACTAAAGGGGTCATATAAGGAGGTAGTCTCACCCAACCCTGACTATAGTAAACCCATTGGAACAAATCCGTAGTCTAAAGAGAAAAATGTGAGTTAATTTAATGTCGATACTTGACATCTTTAATATGCATCAAGTAGTAGAAAACACATCATCAAAACCTTGTCAGGTTAGCAAAAACCCAATGGAAAAAATGCTTACGATATAAGGAAAAAAGAGTACATTAAGGTTAAGTGAGTATACTTTATATATCCTCCCTAAGTTCGACAAAACTCCCCCTAAAAACTACAAGCGTTGCATATGAGATGGGTCACACAATCTAATACCTTGGTATGCTTTTGGAAGGTAGACATCGACAACAACTTCATGTAAAGATTCGTTGAGGTAGTCTTGGGATCAAATTTGTTTGACTTTAAATTTCTGATGCTTTGTTGTTGTGAGGTAGAACTTGGTAGCGCAATACTTTTGGTATTGACTTCTTAGATAGTCAAACAGATACAAGCGACAAGTCTTCATAAATAGTTGCTGAAAATCAACGATGAATGGTACATGTGGGATAGTGCTTTGAATGGCTCTCATATACACGTGTGGCGTCGTGTAGGGAGATGAACTAATCATGGTTCAAAGACATCGCAATTAAGGTCTATTATTTGGACTTCAAAATACTGTGGTATTCCTAACGTTAAAGACATAACCATTTGGGAGCATGTCTTTGTGCGGGTTTGATATGTAACCAACATCAATATAGCAAACAAGATAAACATCATTCCGAAGATTAAGGGGTTAGATTCGCTTTGGATGCGTAGTGATAACCCCAAATCTGTAGTACTTCTAAGGGTAGGAGAAAACGTCTTTAATGCCAATTCAGTGGCGACTTGTAGGTGCAATACTGTATATTTACCAACAGATCAACAACAAAGAAGATGTCCTACCTTGTGCAATGAGTTAAGTACAATAAAACGCAAGTTGAACTTAAATATGGAACTTCAGGTTCCAAAACCTTTTAAAGGGCATAATTGTGGATAGCGTATGGATGATCATAAGTAGTTTAACTGGCGATTAGAATCTTGTCAAAACAATGCCCGAACTCATGCCGAGACATGGACAAGTTTTCCCAAGATCCTTTATTTCAAATTCCGACTGAGGTACGAGACAGTTTTCCTATGCTCTTCTAGAGTCTTACTGAGAGTAATCTCATCAACTTAAACTGCAACTCTAGCAAATCTGCAATACTTCTTAATTAACATGCAAGAGGCATAGTTTATTCATATATCCTTAATTGACCAAATAATCACTTAGACGGGTATACCACATTCGTCTGGATTGTTTCAATTTGTAAAGTGAATGCCTCATTTGGATTAAGAGGGTGTTCTATGGTTTAGAACTATTTGAACCAATGCATGTAATTCTTTGAGAACTTACATGTAAATATTTGTATCAAGATCCTCATGGAGATACATTATAACTACATTCAATTAATCATATGGCCTTAGAGAGAAGTCTTCCACAACAACGGATGCATTATTTTGCACCATTTCATTCATCTTATAACGCTTTCTTTCTTACTTGTAACGCGACATGGTTACCTTAACCACTATAGGAACGACATGTTAAAAAACACTTTGATAAGGATAGAAATACAACCTAAATTGGAATTCGACCAACCATTGCTACATTATCACTAATTAACGGAACACGGTATATGGTCGCTTTTAATTTATGTCAGTAGCTAACATATAAAAGAAACATCATCGATGATAATCTCATTCCAACTCCATATCTCACCTAAATTAGTATACTGGACCAAGAATTTTAGGTCTTGAGATAATCTAGATTAATCTCATGAGATGGAATGGTTGAGACAACAAACGAGTAAGTATTCGTTTTGTGACATGTCTTTCCTTTTCTAAGGAAGTGAATTTTACGACCAAGTGACCTATCACACTTCTAGCTGAGGACAAATGATTGGCTAGTCTCCACTTGTACTATGTCATCCATACAGGGGGTGGCATGCCTTATCAGGGATGGCAAACCATCCTTTAGGGGCGGTACATCCATGTAGAGATGTTAACTCGGTGTCTATTAGGTATGTTTATCCTTACAGGCATGTTTACAACTGATATATATGATCCTGTCACTTTAACTAGATCATAAAATTGTGTCTGTGGTAACCTTCTGAAAGCTAGAGTATATAACTCTTGCTTATCACTTTGTGCGGTACGGAGTTGAGATGAGACATTGGGTAACGTTCACGCTAATTCATGTTGTTCTTTAGAAACGTTGACATTTTTATCTCTCCCTAATGATAGGAAGAGTGTCTCACGGAAGTGACAATTTTGCAATAAGCTATAAAGATATTGCTTGCAAGGGCTCTAAAGAGCTAGTTGGAAGGAGAATCATAATCGATAAAGATTCTTATCCTTCTATGAGGACCCACATTGGTATGTTGTGGTGCAATTGGCACATAAACTGCACACCAAAATGCGTAAGTACGAAAATTGCAGGTTGTACCTTGTAAGAAGCTATAACGTAACATGTTGGGTGGTGATAGGCCTCATGCGCAACAATATAGTTGCATACTAGATTGCATATCCTTAGACAGAAACCAAAAATTTGGTTCACACCAAGGTCCAAGCAATCAACTAAATAATATGTTAAAAGTTACATAATATATATTATTTAATTTACATGTATAACGTAAAAAGGACATAATTATTTTTAGAAAAGGGATAAGATCAACGGACAAACATTTTGACAAACATTTTTATCCTCCTTTGTAGCCAGTAAATTTTATAACATCCAACGATCTTGATTAAGATTTTAAGAGTGATTTGGAAACTTTTGTACAATAAATAACTTGAATGATGATGTAGATTATATTATAACTAATAGGGAAAAACTAATTTAAATTAAAAAGAAAATCACATAATAATAAAATTGAAAATCAAAATCAAAATTTGAAATATCCAACGTAAAAAATAGAAAAATAGAAAAACAAAAACATGAAAACTCAATCTCCCTTTGCCAATGAGGTCTGCAACTTCAATGCCTTGGATGAAAACTCCTTTCTTTTTATCAAACAATGAAACCTCTCATAACAAAAAGAAAAACATGATACCAGGTAGAGAGAGTTTTGCTTTGAGAATAATTTGGGGCTTTGTTTTGAGTTTAAGCGCGCTAGTTCTAGGCTAGCAACTCAATCCCCTAGTCACCTCATAGTAAAACCCTATCGAGCCAAGCATGATTTAGGAGTATACAGCTACAAATTCATCAACCATTCATTTTGCACCGTGTTTAAAAAAAATGAAAACCAAAAGTCAACAATGAAAATTTAGGACTTAGGGTTTTGTTCAGAGAAGATTCAGGAAACTAATAGCTTGATTCATTGTAGTGTGCATCAAAATTTCGTATCAACCGTAATAGAGTATTGAAGACGCGAGAACAACGATCTGCCTCCTCGCCTTTTTTGGACATTCTTCACCAGGGATTTTTTGTCTTTTTATCAGTTCAACCTTTGGTTAATTTTTCTTTTCAAGTTTATTATAATATATATTTCGTTTTAATTTAAATTATTGTTTTCCTTAGTAGTTACAAGTCATACTCATATGCCCACAAACTATGCGTATGTAACTAAATTTGTATATTATTTGTTACAAAAATATTTCCACTTTTTTATTTTTTTATTTTTTTGGTGGAAAAGAAAACTTTTTATTGAAAAAAAAAAAAAAAAATTAGGAGTGGAAATTGGGGAGGGAGTTGAAGTGGGAGACGTGGGTTTAAAAAGACCTCAATTTTTTTTGTTTAATTTTTAACACATGGCTGTGCAGGTGTAAAAGCAACAAAATATATGTTACATGTAATCGCTAAATTGTCCATATATATATATATATATATATTTTTTTTTTTTTTGGTTCAATTTTGGTGCAAGGATTAGAAAGATAATTTTCTAAAGTTTTGGCAAACAAACAGTTTTACTAATAATTAGTGTTGATAATTCACATCATCGTCCAGGTTATTCAATGTTTGAAAGTCTCCATAATATTCTTAATCAAAACCAGTTGGGAATTAATGATTGACTATGTCTACAAAGATCTAAAGGCTACAAAGAAGCGTAAAAACATTTGTCAAAATCTTTATTTTTTGATCCTATCTCTTCTAAAAATACCTATATACATGAATTTAGTGACAAGATCATTTTAACTCTTCAAAATATTGAAAGAAAAACGTGTAGGGTACGAGACACCTTACCGTGGCGGATATGTTCATCTCTTTCATTTCAATGTGAAATTTGGTCCAACAAAAATTAGGTTTGAAAATATTTAAACAGTAAATGGATGTAACTAACTGGCTATTGGTGCGGTGCACTATAACTCCATTTCCCATTTCTACAGTCCATAAGGCAAAAGAGAGAAAAAAAAAGCAGCAAGTGCATGTATAAGAGACGGCTGAATATGTTACTATAATTGCTGCCTCTAAATTGTAAATCATCTTTCATCAATTTGATGTCAACATTTACTAACCCATGCAGGAGGAAAATTCTGTGTTAATTGGCCGCAAAATTCAACAAGAGACTCCGATACTTTATATGTGTGGGGTTGAAAACTTATGATTGTTGGATGTCTGATCATATCAGGCAGACGCCTCGTGTGATAATGCTCAGGGGATCTCACCAACCCAGGCACAAGGAGTAATTTCACAATCACAGGAGAGACCACACAGAAATGCAAGATCGTTACATGGTGCCTGCAAAACCATTTGTTGAAATGAAATTATCACGCCAAAGAGCTTTAAGATTTATGAACGAAGAGGTGAATTCAACAGAACACAATTTAAGGATCAAGTAACATGTGAAAGAAAATACAGTTTCAACTGACTAAAACTGATCGCTCTGGGCACCTGGGATTATAAACAAACAAATATACAATGGTAGCAATGGATTCAAACAAAAAATTGGACAAGGCACAAACCCTGACGAGAGTTGAAATAGGAATCTTGTTCTCACTGGAAAGTGATTTCATTTGGAATTTGAATATCACTTTTACAGGCAATACCCAAGCAAAGAGAGATGTCTTCGCACTTAAGCTTTACATTCAAGAGAGAAATAGGTGCAGAGTCATTACTTTAGTTTGGCAACTCAATGATTTTCTATTTTATTTTGGGAATGCATCACTAAATTCCTTAGTTTTACTGGGCTACATGTTTCATAAAAATTATCTTAAACTTCCATGGCAATTTTTATATCTTCTTTTTTTTATAATAAGAAAATGTAATTTGAACAAGAAACAAATGAGCATACCGAAATATGTAGACGAACATCCCTTAAATTTTCACCATGTGTGCCTCAGCCAGCGAAGAATTCAGGTCTTCCCGAGATTGTGATCGCCTGCTTTGAAGACGCATCTGAGATCTGTGAGGAGACCAGAAGGAACCCATGCTAATGTTGTCAAGTTGCATCTGGCCCAGATTATTAGAGGAATAACTATGGGACATACTGCTAGTTGATGGGTATAAGGAAGACTCCATTAACTGGATGTCACTGCTGCTGTTGAGACTATGCCTTAAGCCAAATGGTCTCCTTTGGGCATCACCAGCAATTGTTGGACTCAGAGGCATCTTTGCTCTTCCATCCCCTGAAAACCCATAGTCGATATAAACTTCAATCAATCAATAGTACAATACTGTGGAGGCTCTAAACTTTTGTTCCCTCCTGTTGGAGTCAAATATCTCAACTTCTTCAAAATTTGCCTTTCCTTTTCAATTAAGTACCCCCACATGTGGTAAACATATCCTAACTACCCTTTTTAGAAACTGATAGTGTGAGTCATAGCCTAATATCACCATTTTCTCTTGGAGTTTTACTAGCCTGGATCATTTTGATAAATAACTTGGAACTGGACGTTGACTATTATTGCGGAACTGCTTGTACATATCATTAACACTAATATATGGAATCATATCAACTCAACAGGAAAACAGTTGAGGTCTTAAACCCCATTTGATTCCCTCTTCTACATTCAGAACATCAACTTATCCATAGTATACTTTTACACAAGATAAATTGCTCCTAATTTTCCATGACATAACTGTACACAAAGAAGAAAATATGAACTGATGAAGGATAAGTTGCTCCTAATTGTTTGTATAACCATGTGCTGCATTCAACCTACAGATACGGACAAGGATTCTTAAGACTTGATCAATCTGTACTCTCTTTTATCTAGATGTTAGGCTTAACCTAACAATCACACTCAGGGATTGACTTCACAATCCATGGACACTGGCAATGAATATGATGAGTTAAGTCTTGTACAAGAAAATCCCTCAATAGGAATAATCATAGACAGATGGTTCGAAAAAATAAAGTTAAAATTATAATAACTACAACTCTGAGGACCATTTCAGAACTACACATGTTTTAGAAGTTTTGTGGAAGAGCTTACCAGAGCTAATAGGACTCCAGCGCTGGAACCGAAAAGGAGACGGAATACTCAGAACAGATCCAGAAGATGCACCATTAGTCCTAAACAGTGGGAGACATGGCCTCCAGAAAAATTTTGGCATCCAATTGCCAACACATGATAATGCACAAAGGAGGAAAATTAAAGAGATAAACAAAACTGCAATAAGAAATATTGGGTTAATCTTGAACTGGAGTATTTCGTAACTGTGAAGCCCCATTCTGGTTGAAAGTGCCTTCCCAGCTTCCAACAAAGCAACCCCAAGTGTCCATGTAATACTTCCAGACCCAATTATAACTTGATTATCTATGATGTGCAATCCCTCTCTCAACAAGAATACAATATATGGTGCCCTAAAGCAGTACTGTTCAATGAAGGGCTGAGGAGCGACACTGTTCTTCGCAACTTCCCAAGTTCTTTCACAAAACTCCCGACCCTTTTCCAACACATCATCAAGTGATGCCTCTGACGTCAAATTGAAAAACCGATAAACCACAAAAAATCCAGAAATCGCAAAGAATCTTCCATAAGGACGGGGTACACCATTGGGAAGAGAACAAGGTTGCAAGTCACAGTCAATTCCTGGATTTATATTGGACCATTCCGACAAATTGACGGCAACTCTGGCAAGTTTACTGCACTCATCCCAATTTGGAGCACCAATAAGCCGCAACAAAATCCCTGACCTGCCTCCTTTATCCAACCACTTTTTAGCAATCACAGGGCTTCCACCTTCTTGGAATTTAGAAACACATTGAGAGCAAACGTATTGCTCCTTGTAACCGGACTGCAAGCAGGGATGCTGAAGTTTTCCCTTCCCATTTACTAGTTCTGCCTTACTGGCTTCTGGAAGCCTCTCAAAAAGATGAACTACAGACTTATCAAATGCGTCATTTAAACCATAGCTTGGGAGAGAATATGCAGTGAGATGATGGTTCACGGCCCCAATTCTAAGGTTTAAACTGGTCTCTTTATGCACTTGTTCATTACTCTCAAATGTAACCTGCAGTGATGAACCACCCAAGTCAAGTGCACCATATGTTGGCTTTCTTGGTTTGGCCCCCAGAATACCCGTGTGATGGTTAAGGGCTATCCAGCCAAAATAAGCTTCTTCCAAGCCACTGATAATCTTAACCCAGTCTCTTTGGCACAAAAAAGGTGAATTCTTGAGTATAGACCATGCATTGTCCAGAAGCCACGTTGAATCAACAGTGGGAAGTCTGCGAACCCCGGCAGTAGCATAAAGGAAAACCGAGGTTGTCTTATGTGCCTTTTGTGGGATTTGCTTCTCTGCCCATCGAATAAGTGGTTTTATTGCAGCCTTCAAGCCGGAAACATTGTGCACCAACTTGTCAAGCCCGGGCTCAGTTTCCATGCGATCATAAGCACGGCCTCTGTGTGTATTAGATGTTCTTTGAAGACCTTGTGTTAACGGCTTCATGACAATAGGAAAAGTGCCATCTTTCTCAGTATCATAGGATGCTTGATATACATAAACACGAGTTCCAGTACTTCCACAATCAAGCACAATATAGAACTTGGGCTCTCCTCTAGACCAATAAGAATAAGTGAACATGGAAACCAAATAAATTAGAAAACCCAACAACAAGATACAACACAGAAGCATGAGGGCTCGAACCCACTTGTTGCACGCAGATGGGGTTCCTCCTCCTGGCAGTGCTTTCTCCTTTGAGAAGCTGGAGGTGGCAGTTTCTCTCTGTAAGGAATCAGTGGGTTTGGAATGAGTGACAAGGCTGGGATGGGGATCTTCAGGGTCAATCTGGCGATAGGCCGAGAAATCCTGGAGAGATGATGACAGACGCAGATAGTTCTTGCTCCGTGCAGGGTTGGCAAAGGCAATTTTGGGGGGAGATAGATTGGAACCCCCCTGAGGGTTAGACCAACGACTTGATGCAGAAGAAATGATGTTGGCAATTCGACTAAACACCATTTTCTAATGCGTATTGGGCTAATTCGAACAGTTGCAGAGAAATTTCAACCTAACATACCAAGCTATATCAATCAATCAACTTAACATACCCAGCAACATCAATCAACCAAACACGAAATAACAAATAACAAATGCAAATGTAAGAACAAGTTGGAATTAGAGTTAAAGTTGACATCCAAGTCTAGATCCGGAGTGACACTACTATACTATAGTTGGGTACTAACCCTAAGAGCACATAATCCACAATACGCTGAAGAAATAAAACACCATCCAAATGCCCATATCATACGAAGAAAACGAGCAAGGAGCAGGGCGCGGTTAATTACCATAATTGGGTTGGGAGTCGGGACGGACAACTTAATGTAATCAAATCAGGAAGAGGAAGAGGAGGACGACCGCCAGGACAACGAAAACACGTCATTTTTATAATAAAACGCTCGAATTTTTTGGTTAACACGCCACTCAGAAAAAGGAGACCTTCATCTTCTCCTTCTCCTTCTCCTCTCTATTTTCGCTTTTCTATGTGGAGCGGTCTCCCGGTTGTTCAGATCCAAACACAAACCAGAAACCAATACTTCTTTTTCCCCAATTGTTGTTATTTACATAGAGGTCTTACTTTTGTCCTCAATAGTCTATTTTTTGCATTTTCATCCTTAAAATTTATTTGTGTCTCCAAATTCAATTTGTTTTCTTTAACACAACAATATATTAACATTAAATGATGACAAAATAAATTGATACCAAATTTCAACATTTACAAAATTTTAACTTAAAGACCCTTCACTTCACAACGTTTAAAACGTTTACAAGTGAACAAAATACAACAAGACCAGTCGTCATTTAAGTTAGGAGATGTTTGATAAACCATTTTGTTTTAAATTTTCAGTCTTTTTGAAAACTAAAAACTTGTTTGATAACTACTTCTTGTTTTTAGTTTTTAGAAATTGAAAGTTGAAATCCAAAAGCTGAAAGCTACTGTATAGTAAATAATATTTAAGAGAGAGAGAGAGGAAATGGACGACAAAGAGATGGAGGAAATGGGCTCAGCTATCTAGCTTGATTAATTTATCTTGATACTATGCTTTTACTCACACTAATCATGATGAAGTTTATTTGCCCTCCAAGTAATACAAACCATACAAGAAAATGATCTTCTAGATCCTATAGGACTGTGCGTCTATCTTATACAATCACATACCTATAATAATTTACTTTCTAATTGCATTTAATTGTAGTATATTTATACAATTCAATTCCTCTTATTTTGATTACAGTTACTTAAACGAGCCACATATGTAGCTTAAGGGAAAAATTATAGCATGACAAGTGTGGAGCCAAAAATAATCACAAGGCGACACGTGGATTTTTAGTTAAAAGGACAAAGTCAACCCTGAGACACACCGGTTGTCCTATGCACGAGCAATGGACAATTAGTCAAGAGTGTTCAAAATAGGTAACAAATTCCAAATTATCTCATCTTAGATAATTACTTCATAACCTACAAATTATTCCATATAAATGGAGATTAATTGGCTAATTAATGGATTAATTCCTAATTAATCTATTAATCACCAATTAAATCACTCATTTTCACACAAAAAACCTCTAAGGGCCAGCCACCTCCATTCCCTATATATATGACCCTATTTTCTCTAAAAAGCTAGTTCCACACTCTTGCAAAACTCCCAAAAACTCTCCAAACACTTTTCTCTCTAAATTTTAACTTTGGCATCGGAGGTTCTTCGGCCAAAGCCCCCCATTCAACGTGGGCGCGGGAGGTTCTTGGCTTTGACCTAAGGTGTTAAGTGTTTTGTAGGTGCAATTTTGTCCAAGAAGAAGAAAGCGGAAATTTGCAGCCACAAATTGGTGCTTTCATTGAGAGTTGAAATTCAACTCGTAGAAGACTCTCGCATAAAAAGGTTTTTTTCTCTATTTTCTAGTCCACTTGTATTTTTCGTACGTTCTTATTATTAGAATTTTTTATTTGCAAAGATTCTTTGATAAAACGAAAAAGAGAAATACAATGGCTAGAAATTTAGAAAACTCTATGAGTGAAAATTCCAATATTCAAGAAATGTGACCGCAACGATCCACGAGACTAAATGTGATCCTAGGAGGAGCGGCACCACCATCACAAGGTTCCACCATGGGAACCATCGCGGTGGCCACCCGCGGCGAGGTTCATGGCATCACTACCACAGCTCGAGTCGTGCAATCCAAGCCCAACGTGTTGCTAAGCCGAGCCCTAGCCTCGCATCCACGTGTGTCACACGCCGAGCAGCCCACTCCCTGGCCCAACCTGCTTCCACCGAGCAGCCTGCTCTCGTGGCCCAACCTGCTTCTGTTAAGCAATCTGCTCTTGTGGCCCAGCCTACTTCCGTGGTCCAGCCTGCTCCCCACCGAACAGCCTACTCTTGTGGCCCAGCCTGCTCTCATGGCCTTCCAAGCAGCCCAAATCGGTCTAAGACTAGTTCAACCGTCCCAGCTCTAAATTTTCGGATCGATGATCAAACCGGGAGCATTTTCACCATATTTTTCTGCGGATTTGACATTTCCTAGCTCAAATCTTGCGCTCGGAGTCTACCACACTTCCACTGCTCAAGGAGAAACATTCTTTCCAAGCTCTTCTAATCCAAATGGTGAACAACACTTGTCTCGACAAAGTCATAGAGTTAACGAGCGCTCTAGCATAGTAGACGATCTTGGTGAACCAGCTCTTGCAGCGCACTAAGATGCAACGTGTTCCAAACAAGGTGTCTTGAAGAAGGACAAGGGCAGACAAAGAACCTTTCTAATAATGTCCCGACAAGCAGCCACTCGACCAGCCACGAACGTAGCATTTGGGCAGAGTACACTCCCGATTGGGCCTCCGAGATAGCGTATACTCTTGTCTTAGTGCGTGGAGGATCGTGCACTCTCGACTAGGGCCACAGATGAGCATACACTCATGGTTGAGGCCACACTCTGATAATCAACATGAGCAGCCTTCCAAGCGAAGTGTTCATTCGCTGCTAGGCCCGCAAGAAGCATCCTCCAAATCACATCGGAGTAGGCAACATGACGGACGGAGAGAAGCAGTCACTCAATCTGGCTCAAGTTCAACCAGCAGCCTGCGAAATCCCTCGCCTGCTAAGAATCCACTACATGCACTGCTGTCACGGCATAGACAAGCCGAGCACGTAGAAGAGCAGCCTAAACCAACAGGTCAAGACTGGGGGCAGCCGAGAGCTCCACTACAGCAACAAAGGCAAATTCAGGAAGAAGTAGAGAGGCTCATAAATAAGCGATCACGTGATTTTCAATGCAACGAAGTGGCCGACGAGGCTCTACGACTGGACATGACTAACATAAACATGTCACCCTTCACGGACGAGATCGAGCCTTCACATGAGTTCAGCATGCCACATTTCACATCTTTCAAAGGGGATGAAGACCTGGAAAGACACTTAAAGCACTACCAAAGCGCAATGATCTTCTATCGAAACAACGACAATCTTATGTACAAGATATTCACCATCACTCTACAAGGCGAGGCGCAAGATTGGTTCTACACCCTGCCACCACAATCTATCCGAAGTTTCAACAAACTTTCTTTGGTTTTTACTAAAGAATATTCATCCTATCACTCGATCAAAAAGAAGTTCGACCATTTGTTTAACGTTAAGAAGAACCCAAAAGAGTCGTTTCGTGACTATGTGAAGAGGTTCAAAGCAGAGAAGGCAAGGATAGTCGGATGCAACGACTTGATAGCTAGAGCAGCCTTCCAAAAAGGACTTCTAGCAGACCATCCTCTATTCAGAAAATTGATCATGAAAGAAGATCTACTCTAGCAGACTCTTTTGCTCTAGCAGAGAAGCATGCACTTTGGGACGAGGCACGCTAATGCACATTCAAAGACTTGAAGAAGTACTCGACATCACCTCCCTACTATCCAAACTAGAAGCAGAGGATGACTGATTCACATGTTTAACGGTATCTGAAGCAGTAATAAGCTCTACCATTATACGAGAATAGCTGAGGGCCCGAATACCTGTATTCCACAGTTCAAAAACTATCCTCGATGCTATCAGAAATTCCAAAGCTAACTTTGGCGATAGTTATTGCAACCCGAAAGGTTAAGTTTTACCTTTAAACGCACGCAGTCATCTTCATGACGCATTATTCTGCTCAATCCAAACGCGTGACGATAAAAGGCGTAGACCCTAGCGGATGCAAAGTTTTCTGACGAATGCAACAACTCGACCTAAAAGACACGCCAAGGGCAGACGAACATTGGAAGGACACACTCGGAAGCAAGTTTTGTCCTCGTCGCCCCAAAAGATTCTACATAGGAGCACCATGTACTGACAGTTGAGCATTACCTCATATTACGTGTCACACGGCCCTAGCCAACCGTTGCTCCATAACTTAACTCTAGAATGGTCCAATACCGACAGTTGAGCATCTTTTGTTACGTGTAACATGGCCCCAACTCCACGACTCCCTACTATGCACCAAGATGTTAAGAAGTTAGTACAAAAAATGCGACTGTTGCTAGCACTACAAGCCGATACCAGCACTGCTTGCCAGCGAACTACACTCGTATACGAGTCCTTGGCCATTCATGTAGTGGGTCATCGACCTAGTAGGACTTATGCCGCCTACTTCTGGGGGCAGAGACATGATGATCGTGGCAACCGACTACTTCACCAAATGGGTAGAAGTAGAGCCCAGGATGACCACGACTCAAACGGACATAGAGCACTTCATATGGAGGAACATCATTTGCCAATTTGGCATCCCACATTCCATCGTCACTGGCAACGGTCGGCAATTCGTGGGCAAAGGTATGGCGAAGTTCTTCCAAAAGTATGGTATCAAGCAGCACATGTCGATGTTGAGATATCCTCAAGGTAATAGGCGGGCCGAAGCATCCAACAAGATGATCCTCGACTACCTCAAGAAATCCATCACCAACAAGAAGGAAAAATGGCCAGACAAACTCCCCGGATGTCTATGGGCATAACGCACCACCAAAAGACGAGCAACCGGTAAGACTTCTTTCTCTTTGGCATTTGGCTCAGAAGCAATCATTTATCCCAATGTCATCAAGTCAAGTATCACCGTTCTACTACCAAGCATTGAGCAGAACAGTAAGGAGATGGCTACAAGCTTAGATCTGGCAGAGGAGAAGCGCGACCATACCATCACCGGCATCGCAACCTAACAACAGTAACTCCTCTCCAACTACAACAAAAGGGCCAAGATCCGGCAGTTCCAGCCCGAAGATCTAGTCCTAAGAAAAGCCTTCATCATTGCTCACAGAGAAGGCTCCAAAAAGATGGATATCATCTAGGAAAGTCCGTATAAGATCAGCAGAGTAGGCGGCAAGAGTAATTATACCCTCGCCACCATGAAACGACAAAAAAATTGAAAAGCAATGGAACGCCTACAATCTGAGGAAGTACCATGTGTGACCTCCCACTACATCAAAGCCCGAAGACTTAAGCAGCTCGACAAGGACCACCTCACAAGCCGAAGACTATCCAGTTGTTATGCAGTTCCTACCTTATAGCTAAGTTCTTGTTCGTTTCACTTATTTTTC